ACTGCCAATCAACAAAGGAAGGATTGGGCCTGTTGGCACTGGAAGTCAACTAAGGAAGGGTGGAACCTGGTGAGATTGGCAGTCAACAAAGGAAGGATTGGGCCTGATGGAACTTGCAGTCAATCTAAGGAAGAATGGAACCTGGTGAGACTGGCAGTCAAGCTAAAGAAGGGTGAAACTTGGTGACCCTGGCAGTCAACAAGTGAAGGATGGGGCCTGGCGGCAGTCAATCTAAGGATGGGTTGGAACCTGGTGAGACTGGCAGTCAATCTATGGAAAAATTGGAACCTGGTGAGACTGGCAGTCAAGCTAGGGAAAAGTGGATCTTGGTGGCACTGGCAGTCAATCTAAGGAAGGGTTGAAATGTGGTGAGTCTGGCAGTCAAGCTAGGAAAAGGGGGAACATGGTGGCACTGGTAGTCAATCTAAGGAAGGGTTGGAACCTGGTGAGACTGGCAGTCCACAAGTGAAGGATAGGGCGTGGTGGCAGTCAACCTAAGGACTGGTTGGAACCTGGTGAGACTGGCAGTCAATCTAAAGAAGGGTTGGAACCTGGTGAGACTGGCAGTCAAGCTAGGGAAAAGTGAAGCTTGGTGGCACTGGCAGTCAATCTAAGGAAAGGTTGGATCCTGGTTAGACTGGCAGTCAAGTTAGGGAAAAGTGGACCTTTGTGGCACTGACAGTCAATCTAATGGAAGGGTTGAAATGTGGTGAATCTGGCAGTCAAGCTAGGAAAAGGTGGAACTTGGTGGCACTGGCAGTCAATCTAAGGAAGGGTTGGAACCTGATGAGACTGGCAGTCAAGCTAGGGAAAGGTGGAACTTGGTGGCACTGGCAGTCAATCTAACGAAGGGTTGGAACCTGATGAGACTGGTAGTCCAGCTAGGGAAAAGTGGACCTTGGTGGCACTGACAGTCAATCTAAGGAAGGGTTGAAAACTGTTGAGACTGGCAGTCAAGCTAAGGAAGGGTGAAACTTGGTGACCCTGGCAGTCCACAAGTGAAGGATGGGGCCTGGTGGCAGTCAAGCTAAGGATTGGTTGAAAACTTGGTGAGACTGGCAGTCAAGCTAGGGAAAAGTGGAACTTGGTGGCACTGACATTCAGTCTAAGGAAGGATGCGACCTGATGGCATTGGCAGTCAATCTAAGGAAAGGTGGAACATGGTGGCACTGTTAGTCAATGTAAGGAAGGGTTGGAATTTGGTGAGTCTGGCAGTCAAGCTAGGGAAAAGTGGAACTTGGTGGGACTGGCAATCAAACTAAGGTGACTCATGCAACAATCAGAAGTAGAAACCTATGGAGCAACCTTTGGTCCCATTCTCCCAAAAGCCTTTTGGGAATCCAAGGTATCCAGGATAACACAAATTTGGATTCAGCTCAGGTCACCATAAGTCATGAAATTAGGTCTGAATCCAACGCCATCTAAATTCTAGGACCAACCCTCACAATAAGGACAAAAAGAAAATATATGAAAATAATATCTGATCGTCAACATTCAGACATAAATGATATAGGGGAGCCAATGGATCTGTATTTTCTGTCCATCCAGTTCTGAGATTTAAACAGCTCTGCCACACCGGGCATTCCCGTCTGATTTTTTTTTTTGCTCTGCTGCAGCTCAGTAGATCATGGGGGAACCCTTGGCCTGGTTTCAAGCTTCTACAACAAACCAAAAAATGATCAACACCTTAGCGTGACAATAAAAGCGAAGAATTCAGAAAATGCCATCAACTACGGGTGACAACGGGAGACAGATTTTGCCTGCAGCAATAGAGGGGATACCGCGGACCCTCCACTGTAATTAGCAGAGTAGATGAGAGGCAAACAAAGGCTTCTAAAATAACAGTTGTGTCCCGGAATTCACAAACCTGAATGCATCCCATTCACAGGACATCCATTGTCCCCAAATCCCCGGTGAATGCCACCAGTCTAGCAAGAAAGGAGAAGATATCTGCAGTGAAAACTCACTAAAGTCAATGGACAAAGAGAAAGTGAATACAGAAAGAAAGGGGGGCCATGACTTCCCTCTACTCCCGGCCTACTGATAGAGGACAATATTGGGGGGGGGGGGAGTGTTGGCCAGAGCTTACAGGAGGGAACACTTATTTCATATTATTGCAACTGGAGGACCAGCAGGAGGAAGGAGGTCCTGATTCCTCTATATAGATCTCATCACTAGAGGGGTCACCGGCAGGAGGGGAAGGAGGTCTGATTCCTCTATATCAGTGGTTCTCAACCTTTCTAATGCCGCGACCCCTTAATACCAGTTCCTCATGTTGTGGTGACCCCCAACATAAAATTATTTTCGTTGCTACTTCATAAACTGTAATTTTGCGTGGAAGTGGGAGGAATAGTGCCCCATCACTGATGTCAGTGGGAGGAATAGTGTCCCATCATTGGTGTCAGTGGGGGGAATAGTGCCCCATCATTGGTGTCAGTGGCAGGAATAGTGTCCCATCATTGGTGTCAGTGGGAGGAATAGTGCCCCATCACTGATGTCAGTGGGAGGAATAGTGTCCCATCATTGGTGTCAGTGGGAGGAATAGTGTCCCATCATTGGTGTCAGTGGGAGGAATAGTGTCCCATCATTGGTGTCAGTGGGAGGAATAGTGCCCCATCATTGGTGTCAGTGGGGGGGAATAGTGCCCCATCATTGGTATCAGTGGGAGGAATAGTGCTCCATCATTGGTGTCAGTGGGAGGAAATAGTGCCCCCATCATTGGTGTCAGTGGGAGGAATAGTGTCCCATCATTGGTGTCAGTGGGAGGAATAGTGCCCCATCATTGGTATCAGTGGGAGGAATAGTGCCCCATCATTGGTGTCAGTGGGAGGAATAGTGCCCATCATTGGTGTCAGTGGGAGGAATAGTGCCCCATCATTGGTGTCAGTGGAGAAATAGTGTCCCATCGTTGGTGTCAGTGGGAGGAATTAGTGCCCCATCATATTGGTGTCAGTGGGAGGAATAGTGCCCCATCATTGGTGTCAGTGGGAGGAATTAGTTGTTCCCATCGTTGGTGTCAAGTGGGAGGAATAGTGCTTCATCATTGGTATCAGTGGGAGGAATAGTGCCCCATCATTGGTGTCAGTGGGAGGAATAGTGCCCCATCACTGGTGTCAGTGGGAGGAATAGTGCCCCATCATTGGTGTCAGTGGGAGGAATAGTGCCCCATCATTGGTGTCAGTGGGAGGAATAGTGCCCCATCATTGGTGTCAGTGGGAGGAATAGTGCCCCATTCATTGGTGTCAGTGGGGAGGAATAGTGCCCCATCATTGGTGTCAGTGGGGGGAATAGTGCCCCATCCATTAATTTGGTGTCAGTGGGGGGTGATAGTGCCCCATCATTGGTGTCAGTGGGGGGTAGTGCCCCATCATTGGTGTCAGTGGGGGGAGTAGTGCCCCATCATTGTGGTGGTGTCAGTGGGGAGAGACAGAAAGTAGTGCCCCATCATTGGTGTCAGTGGGGGGAGTAGTGCCCCATCATTGGTGTCAGTGGGGGGAGTATAGTGCCCCATCATTGGTGTCAGTGGGGGGAGTAGTGCCCCATCATTGGTGTCAGTGGGGGGGTGTAGAGCCCCATCATTGGTGTCAGTGGGGGGGAGTATTGCCCCCATCATTGGTGTCAGTGGGGGAGTATTGCCCCATCATTGGTGTCAGTGGGGGGAGTAGTGCCCCATCATTGGTGTCAGTGGGGGGGAGTAGTGCCCCATCATTGGTGTGTCAGTGGGGGGAGTAGTGCCCCATCATTTGGTGTCAGTGGGGGGGTAGTGCCCCATCATTGGTGTCAGTGGGGGGATGTAGTGCTCCCATCACTGGTGTCAGTGGGGGGAGTAAGTAGTGCCCCATCACTGGTGTCAGTGGGGGGGAGTAGTGCCCCCATCACTGGTGTCAGTGGGAGTAGTGCCCCATCACTGGGGGGGGTTGTCAGTGGGAGGAATAGTGTCCCATCATTGGTTGTCAGTGGGAGGAATAGTGCACACATCATTGGTGTCAGTGGGAGGAATAGTGTCCCATCATTGGTGTCAGTGGGAGGAATATGCCCCATCATTGGTGTCAGTGGGAGGAATAGTGTCCCATCATTGGTGTCAGTGGGAGGAATAGTGCCCATCATTGGTGTCAGTGGGAGGAATATTAGTGCCCCATCAATTGGTGTCCAGTGGGAGGAATAGTGCCTATCATTGGTGTCAGTGGGAGGATAGTGTCCCATCATTGGTTGTCAGTGGGAGGAATAGTGCCCCATCATTGGTGTCAGTGGGGGGAGGAATAGTGCCCCATCGTTGGTGTCAGTGGGGGGAGGAATAGTGCCCCATCGTTGGTGTCAGTGGGGGGGAGGAATAGTGCCCCATCGTTGGTGTCAGTGGGGGGAGGAATAGTGCCCCATCGTTGGTGTCAGTGGGGGGAGGAATAGTGCCCCATCGTTTGGTGTCAGTGGGGGGAGGAATAGTGCCCCAACGTTGGTGTCAGTGGGGGGGAGGAATAGTGCCCCATCATTGGTGTCAGTGGGAGGAATAGTGCCCCATCACTGATGTCAGTGGGATGAATAGTATGCCCATCACTGGTGTCAATGGGAGGAATATGCCCCATCGTTGGTGTCAGTGGGAGGAATAGTGCCCCATCGTTGGTGTCAGTGGGAGGAATATAGCCCCATCGTTGGTGTCAGTGGGAGGAATAGTGCCCCATTCGTTGGTATCAGTGGGTAGGAATAGTGCCCCATCGTTGGTATTAGTGACACAAATGATGGGCACTATTCCTCCCACTGATACCAACGATGGGGCACTAATCCTCCCCTGTGACACCAATGATGGGGCACTATTCCTCCCACTGACACCAACGATGGGGCACTATTCCTCCACTGACACCAACGATGGGGCACTATTCCCCCCCACTGACACCAATGACGGCCGGCACTATTCCTCCCACTGACACCAATGATGGGGCACTATTCCTCCCACTGATACCAACGATGGGGCACTATTCCTCCCACTGACACCAACGATGGGGGCACTATTTCCCCCCACTGACACCAATGACGGGGCACTATTCCTCCACCACTGACACCAATAATGGGGCACTATTCCTCCCACTGACACCAACGATGGGGCACTATTCCTCCCACTGACACCAACGATGGGGCACTATTCCTCCCACTGACACCAACGATGTGGGCACTATTCCTCCCACTGACACCAATGATACTTACTTTGCTGACCCCCTGCTCCAGCCTGGGCTCGCTCTCTCACTTATACCTGTCAGCTGTCTTCCTTCTCTTGCTGGCCGCTCTCCTCTTCACTCGCTCCGGCAGCTCCCTCGATCTTCTTTGATGTACGCGCGCTGCCGCTCGGCTCCTCCTCTCCAAGCTCCACCTCCTCGCCGGTGATTGGCGCCTGTGTGCCTATCCCCTGAGCTACAGTTCCGGTGGCCAATCAGCGGCGAGGAGCGGAGCAGCTGAGCGATCCCGGAGGTGTGGCCAGGTGACAGGAGCAGCGTATCATCCCGCCACACACATCGCCGGAGAGAGGAGCGGTGTCTCGGTTCCTAAGACCATCGGAAATATGTGTTTTCCGATGGTCTTAGGCGACCCTGGGAAATGGTCGTTTCGACCCCCAAAGGGGTCGCGACCCCCCAGGTTGAGAACCGCTGCTCTATATAGATCCTATCACTAGAGGGGTCACCGGCAGAGGAAGGAGGTCCTGATTCCTCTATATAGAATCTTTATATCACTAGAGGGGTCACCGGCAGGAGGAAGGAGGTCCCGATTCCTCTATATAGATCCCATCACTAGAGGGGTCACCGGCAGGAGGAAGGAGGTCCTTATTCCTCTATATAGATCCTATCACTAGAGGGGTCACCGGCAGGAGGAAGGAGGTCCTGATTCCTCTATATAGATCTTTATATCACTAGAGGGGTCACCGGCAGGAGGAAGGAGGTCCTGATTCCTCTATATAGATCCTATCACTAGAGGGGTCACCGGCAGGAGGAAGGAGGTCCTGATTCCTCTATATAGATCCTATCACTAGAGGGGTCACCGGCAGGAGGAAGGAGGTCCCGATCCCTCTATATAGATCTTTATATCACTAGAGGGGTCACCAGAAAGAGGTCGATCTGTTCGGTCAGAATATGAACTGGGCTGTGAACTGCATGGATCCCTCTTGAAGGACAATTATTGTATCTGCTTTACACCATCATGACTGTTCTATAGATGATCTATGTCTCACTTTGGGAGATCACATGACAGTTGTCTGCCTTCAGCCATGTTGGTTGGGGCAGCGAGGTGACCTCTCTCTCTCTTCTTTTTAAGGATCTGATAATAAAGGTTTTGTTCCCAAGAGATCCGTGCGTTCCAAATCCCACCACAATGTACAGAATGCCATCAATATACACAGCACTTTTACATAGACTATATTGCCAACAGTATTCTCCCCACCCTCCATATCATGTGATTCAGGTGTTCCAATCCATTATTAATTAATACAAATATTATATATATATTTTTTTTAATTTTTTTTATTATTATATTTTATTTTTTAATTAATATTATATAATTAATTTATTATTATAATTATTAAATATTATTACTCCATTATCATGTGATTCAGGCGTTCCAATCCCCTCCCAATCATGTGATTCAGGTGCTCCAATCCCCTCCATATCATGTGATTCAGGTGTTCCAATCCCCTCCATATCATGTGATTCAGGTGTTCCAATCCCCTTCATATCATGTGATTCAGGTGTTCCCAATCCCCTCCATATCATGTGATTCAGGTGTTCCAATCCCCTCCATATCATGTGATTCAGGTTATCCAATCCCCTCCATGGACACAGGTGTATACAATCCATCCCCTAGGCATGCAGACGGCTTCTACAAACATTGGTGATAGAATGGGTCGCTCTCAGGAGCTCAGTGACTCCAAGCGTGGTCCCGTGATAGGTGGCCACCTGGGCAATAAGTCCATCCGTGACATTTCCTGGCTACTAAATATTCCACGCTCAACTGTTAGTGGGATTATAAACAAAGTGGAAGCGAATGGGAAAAACAGCCACTCAGCCACCAAGTGGTAGGCCACGTCACATGACAACGCGGGGTCAGCGCATGAGCAAACTTCCCTATAATGTGATGGAGAACGTTCTTCAGAAGACAGCTACAGTTGTGTTGAAAATACTAGCCGTCAGACATCACTAACCGGATCAATCGCTGTTTTTGGTGGAAATGATATTTCTACATGGCACATCATTTCCTAGCAGGTGTAGTAGAGTAATAGAAATCCAACAGACCCAACAGTCATGACATGCATGCTGCTGATTCTGTGTCATTGAATCACTCATTGAAAGGGCGCGTGTTCACAATAATAGCCGTGTGGAGTTTCTATTAGTGAGGTCATTCATTCTTTGATAAACAGGTGGCAATTATTGCCCTTATTTAAGGAAGGAAGGCAGCAAATGTTGGACATGCTGGTTACAGTGCATTTCTCTCTGAAATTCTGAGGAAAATGGGTCGTTCCAGACATTGTTCAGAAGAACAGCGTACCTTGATTAAAAAGTTGATTGGAGAGGGGAAAACATATAAAGAAGTGCAGAAAATGATCGGCTGCTCAGCTAAAATGATGGCAAATGCTTTAAAATGGCAACCAAAACCTGAAAGACGTGGAAGAAAGCGAAAAACTACCATTCAAATGGATAGAAGAATAGCCAACATGGGGGGGGACTCAGCCAACAATCAGCTCCAGGAAGATGAAAGAAGGTGTGACGTTCCCTGTGAGGACTCAGCCAACAATCAGCTCCAGGAAGATGAAAGAAGGTGTGAAGTTCCCTGTGAGGACTCAGCCAACAATCCAGCTCCAGGAAGATGAAAGAAGGTGTGACGTTCCCTGTGAGGACTGTTACAATTAGAAGACGCCAATGTGAAGCCAAGCTATCTGCAAGAAGTCCCCGCAAAGTCCCACTGTTGGGAAAAAGACGTGTGCTGAAGAGGTTACAATCTGCCAAAGAGCACATTGACCGGCCTAAAGAGAAATGGCGCAACATTTTGTGGACTGATGGAAGTAAGATTGTTCTTTTTGGGTCTAGTGGGCGGAGACAGTTTTGTCAGACGACCCCCAAACACTGAATTCAGGCCACAGTACACTGTGAAGACCGTGAAGCATGGTGGTGCAAGCATCATGATATGGGGATGTTTCTCATACTACGGTGTTTGGGCCTATTTATCGCATACCAGGGATCATGGATCAGTTTGAATCCATCAGAATACTTGAAGAGGTCATGCTGCCTTATGCTGAAGAGGAAATGCCCTTGAAATGGGGGTTCCAACAAGACAACGACCCCAAACACACCAGTAAACGGGCAACATCTTGGGTCCAGACCAACAAGATGGATGTTATGGAGTGGCCAGCCCAATCCCCGGATCTTCATCCAATAGAAAAACGTTGTGGGGTGACATCAAAAATGCCGTTTCTGAGGCCAAACCAAGAAATAGAGAAGAACTGTGGAATGTGGTCCAATCATCCTGGGCTGGAATACCTGATCACAGGGGCCAGAAGTTGGGGGACTCCATGCAACACAGATGTACAGCAGTTCTCAGAAACAGTGCGACTACAACCAAATATTCATGAAGTCATTCAAAGGAAAGCAAAATCTTCAAACATTTCTCAGTTTATATAGTGAATGTTGGAGTTTGTAAAGAAGAATACAAACACTGAGATTTTTTTTTAACTATTCACTTTTCTTCCATTTTTTTAGAGGAACAACACAAATTTGATGTATTTTTCTTCATGTTGTGATTTGGAATAGAATGTGTCGTGTTCCCAATGCATTTGTGTGGATGGAAAGAAAAGGATTAGAAGGATTTTCAGCTTTAGTCACTTTTTTCAACACAACTGTATATTCTGTGAGATTCCCCTCCCCCCTCTGTCCATGTATATCGTGTGATAGGAGAACGTTTCTGCAGAAGTCAGTTTGTTGGGTTCTTTACTGTTCAGCTGAGAAGTGAAAGTCCACAAGTCACTCTTCACGTGTAATTTTAGTCCCACAATAATGTGGTCATCACCATAAAGAGGAATGAGCTCCTTCTGACCTTTCCCAGGCGTCTCACACAGAGGAACCACTGAAATAACATTCCGGTCTCAGGTGATCCCCGCCTCATAACTTTATTTATAGCTCACAGAGGTGAACAGGGAGGTGTGGGTCAGTTGGAACATCTGAATCACATGATAGGGAGGGGATTGGATTGGGAAAACCTGAATCACATGATATGGGAGGGGATTGGAACACCTGAATCACATGGTATGGAGGGGATTGGAACACCTGAATCACATGATATTGGGAGGGGATTGGAACACCTGAATCACATGATATGGAGGGGATTAGAACACCTGAATCACATGATATGGAGGGTGATTGGAACACCTGAATCACATGATTGGGAGGGGATAGGAACACCTGAATCACATGATTGGAGGGGATTGGAACACCTTGAATCACATGATTGGGAGGGGATTGGACACCTGAATCACATTGATATGGATGGGGATTGGGACACCTGAAATCACACATGATTGGGAGGGGATTGGAACATCTCCTGAATCACATGATATGGAGGGGATCCACAACTATCATGACCTACACACATTAATGGCCCCCTGTCTTGGTCCAATAGGGTTCAATATTTGAGTTTGGGCCCCGCCCTTCCCACACACACATGACCTTTCATGGCCCCCCAGTCTTAGTCTGTAGGGTGTCAATATTGAGTTGGCCCCGCCCTTTGCAGCTATAACAGCTTCAACTCTTCTGGGAAGAAGAGTTCTCTTCACACAAACAGATTCCTTTTGTTGGTAATTTGATCACCGCAGTTTTTTTTTCTGCAATAAAATTTTTGTAATTCAATTAATTTTTATTAACTTTTTTTAAACAATTTAACCAAGAAAAATTAGAGCAAAAGACACTGACGCCCACGCAGGGGCCCATCAATGGCACGTAAAAAATAAAGAGAAGAGCGCTGGAACACCAACGAGGTAAAAGGGGCGCCATTAAAGGCACATAAAATACTATTTTTTTTTGCAATAAAATGTTTAAATATTTTTTTATTTAAGATTAAAAAAAAAAATTTAACAGAATTTTTTTTTATTTTTTTACTGTTTTTTTATTTTTTTTTAACTGTTTTTTTAACTGCCGAGACAATCAGTTTTTCTGCACATGTTCTGCAAGGGCACATTAAAACCCCTTGTCCTCT